GTGGGATCCCCACTGACGCTCCTTGATGCCTGGAGTTTTCACAGCCAACAAAGAGCACCTACCAGCCACTGCAGAAGCACTTGAAGCGTAAGTAGACTTTGAAACACTCAACTTGCAAGGGCTGGCCCACTGCAACAACCACCTAAAGCTAAGCGGGATCCTTACATGATCAGCGTTGCTCGTCGTCTTCCTCGTCCGAGACCTCTGTGAGCGTTAGGAAGCCTCTTTCCAGGAGCACGTCCGCGAGACGGCACATCTGATCTCGAAGGTGCATCTCCAAGCTGCCCAGCTCGCAAAGCCGTTCGTAGAGCAGGTCACTCGCAACACGATCCAGCGCATCCGGGAGGCCTGAGAGCTCGCAGCGACAGTGATCCGGAGTGTGACCAAGGCCTGCCACTTGCGCTTGGACTTGGCCGAGGCCGTGTGCCTCTTGAACCTCCCGTCGACAAGCAGCCGCCCTGACTTCAGCATCTGAGAGCGACATCTGCAGCAGCCAGCGGTGCTGTGGCGGCACCTTGAACCCCTCGCGGCGCTCAATGCGCGCCAATGCCGCTCGAGCATCCATGTCCTTGCGAGATCTAACCTTCGGGGCCTTGGGCGCAGCAGAGCTCTTTGCTGCAGCCTTTGCCTTGGCTGCCGTCTTCACCATGGCAGCGATCTAGAGAATGCACCCTAAGTGGAACCCTAGCTCAGCCTTCTTCAGTAAGACGCAGCGTGCAAGCAGTCTGCAACAGCTCTGCACTGTCACTTCCCGGAACAAGCTCAGGATATCAGCTGTGCATCCACACAATTCACACAATGCACAGATCACAGCATGGGCCATGGTACTCAAGACACACACCGAAGTTGCATGGTCAAGAGGCTTCTGCACACCCTACCCTCCGTACCCTACCCTACCCTACCCTACCCCACCCAACCCTACCCTACTTTTCCCCACCTAACCCCACATGCTGGCTTCTGGCGGGCGCTTAGATACTGTTGGTGTTCCACACAGGGGATTTCCAGCCAAGTTTTCTGGGGCCCGGAGCGGGCCCCACAAAATCCCACACGCCCTGACCAGCTGATGCTGATGATGCTCGCTTTGCGGGTGCTTACAAAGCCCCAGTGTTGTGGGGCCCGGAGCGGGCCCCACAAAATCCCACCCGCTCCCACCCGCCCCAAAAACTCCTGACTCACTCGGAAGCTGGCCTCTTCAGCGGCTGTCAGCCTCCGTGGTGACAGCCTCGCACGTCGGAGGAACAAGGCTAAGGGTGGTTGGACATCGCTTTCAAAGGCCTGCCCTGAGA